CTGCTACTACTACTACTACTACCGCCTAACAGTAATACTGATAAGAAGAATACTAAAAATAACAATGGTAGCCATTGTAGTCAGACCAAGCACCATAACAATAACAGCCACACGTAAGTTAGGGTTTAGGGTTTAGCTAGTACTACATACAGTAGACGTCCCGGTCCTCGCGGTGCTTGTTGCTGCTCTTGGCCTGGGCTGGTTACAAAAGCCATTCAACTGCAGGGGAAACGCCTCAAACATCCCCAAACCCCCTCGTAGAGCCCTTACACAAGCTACCCGAAAAGTGACCGTAAAGGTCAGGATAGACAAGGTACTGCAATGAATTTACAATCATTCCGTCCAGAACCCTGACATGGTTTAAGGTATGTCTATTCCCCTGGCGGGAACTTGGGCTACATATGGTAAGCATACTGACCCCCAAAAACCCTGAGGACGGACTCATATTCCAAGGCTTTTGGCCCCAAAACCATACCATATCGGGCTTTTGGTCTATTTCGAGCCTTAGGGATCTGCTTTGGTATCAGGCGAGCGACAAAATGGCCGAGGGCCAGGGCGGCGTTTGCGCGCTCCATGCCCCCTTGGACATCCTTTGCCTGAGTTCGGCTTCAAGTGAAGGCCTTGAGCGTCATGAGACTAAGCAGCTTACATAAAAGTGCTTTATAAAAAAAAAATATATATATATATAATTAGTATACATGCAGTATGCATTTCTATATAGATACACACGTGTGTATGTATGTATGTGTGTGTATATATATATACACATGTACACGTATCAAATTGACAGGCACCCGATGGTCCATGTGTGGTTGGGGTGGTTCAGCACCGACACAAAAGTCGGGTCATTCCGGGTCATGGGCTTGGGCAGGGCGAAGTCTCGAATTTTACCGTTCGGCTCAGTCTCTGCAGCATCCCTGACACCTTGATTGAGGTTAGGGCTTAGGGTTCGGTTGACGGGTTCAGGGTTTTTGAAGTCTCCTGTATAAACCCACCTACTCCACAAGACGAAAGCCTACGCCTCCTCGTTAACTTCCCATGGGTTTCGCGTATGTATGTACTCGAATGTACTCTTCATGGTTTAGGGCTTGGTTTTTTCGTCCTTGTATCACAATTACCACCATGGCTGTTTGGGATTGCAGGCATCCTGAAACCCACAGCTCTTCCGGGGCTGCCTTCTTCCAGGGCCTTCATAGAACAACAAGTATCAGTGTTGCAAGATGCGCTCAGGACGGCGTGAATGATACTGATCGCAGGTCGAGGTCTCTGCTTAAGCATTCGGCAAATGATACAACATAAACGGGAGGGGACGTTAACTATCGCAACAAGAAGGCTTGCGACAGTAACATCCAAAGCAGTAAGTAGCATGCAAGCACTAACGCCAGCTTCACAATAGTAGCAAATGGCCAGAACACTAGCACCAGCCACAAGCGCGGTAGTGCGCACCGTCATAAAATCAACAGGCGCCACAACATGTTAGAACCACCGCGACAGTTTTCATAGAAGCAACCGCGATATTGCAGCTGCTAGCAAAACTCATCCCTGTAAAAAATGTTCAACAAGCCCACAGCCCACACCCCTAAACCCGAAACGCCCGAATACAACTTACCCGAGGTTCTTTCGCCGACACCAGCTTGATGAGGGGCTTCAAGCCATCCAGTTGCACCAACGAGATGGGATACAAGTGATGCTCTTTCACCTCGCACAGGTTCAGGTAGTTGGGGTTACAAATAACCCGAAGCCGAAGAGGGTTTAACAAACACCCTGAAAAAACCCGTCTGTTTTGGAAAAAAAACCCTTCTTCTTGGCGCTACAAAACCCGAAGCCCCCCAAACTTCAACTCTGAGTTGTCAGCCGCACATCCCGAACCTTAAAGCTTCGAACACATAAAGCCCAAACCCATAACCCTGATATAGGGGCCTTAACTATTAGAATCGGGTTTCGGGGTATCTTCTAGTATGGCGGCAATTCGAAACGATAAGGAATACTGCTGGTGAGCACCTGGTAATCACTGAGGATTCTGTAGTAGTCCTGCTGCCAGGTCGCGATCACAGCCAGGTCTTTGGCGGCATCACTGCGAGTCGTCGGATCCTTGCTGGAGAGCTCCCGCACGGAAGGCTGCAGTCTCTTCACTGTGTCCATGGCATCTCGAAATCCCAGAGGGCCCTATAGTTTCGAGCGCTAAGGTTGCATGAAGTTGAGGGTCAGCATGTGGTGAATCTTTCAACTTCCTCTAGGGTGTTCAGGCTTCGGGATGTTGAATGGCACTACCGATGCTGGGGCTGGCTTTGCTGCAGGAATGTGTGCTCCTCAAGAAGCACAATGTGACACTGTAAACTTCTCCTCTATAAACCCTAAACCCCTGAACGAATGCTGCATGATCCAGGCTTCCAGGCCGGGCAGAAGGCAGAGTCGTGACAGAAGCGCCCGAGCCTAAACTGCTTCCACAGAATACCGGCATAGTACCGATCAATGTAGGGCTACCGGAAGCTGGTAGGTTCAGGATTCCAGCGGGTTTGGGCTTTAGGGAGCGAGGGTGATGGCACAAAGAGATACGACAAGAAGGACCGTCTGTTTGCTCGTCAAACAAAGGCTGCATAGAGACTCCTGGAGTGTTGAACACGAACAGTCTGACAACTCTCAACAAACGTCATGGGCCAATGAGGACTACTGATTTCACGCCAGACCAGTATTTACAAAGACCTCGTGCTCTCCACCATCGGCTGGCTTTGAGCATCATTAGTGATGCAACCTAGCCCTCTAGACCCAGCCCTCTAGAGGGCATCTGCTATTCTAAAAGTATGTGGCTTGAGGTTCTCCATGCTCCTACAGCATTTGTAATTTGCCAGTAACGACATAAGATTCCGCGGTCGTGCGCGCTGTCCGTTGGTGGCCTAGGGTACAATGTTGATGCCCACAGCACAGAAAGTAAGAGTTCGCACAGCCCCTAAAGCCCAAGGCAACCAAGTACGTCCGCAGCATCTGTTTCGGTTGTAGAACTTTGCACACACTACATTTCACATGTCATGTACTTGTTACACCTATCCGACATGTTCGAAAGGTTCACAACAGAGGGACTCTTGCTCCGGGCATCTGGAACTTGCCGGTGCATGTGCCTATCGTTGCCTATTGCACCAGCTTCGGTCCTCTGCCTGCCCTTGCGGCTGGTTTGCCTACAGCCTGTCTTTGGCACGATGTGGGGGACAAGAAGTTTGCAATGCCGGTTGCGAAGTCAGGGCCCCAAATCAACGTCCCTTCTGATAACTCTGGAGCTAAACACCTCATTTCCCGAACCCTAAACCGAACACCCAAAACTCTTCACAAGCCCTTAATCCAGCGGAAGAGGCCTTAGTTCTGGTAGCAGCTTTCTTCTTTTTGGGGTCCACCTGGTCACACTTCCCTATGTAGTCCAAGAACCTCAGATACTCTCGTTAAATACTAAGCTACAAAACTGCTACCTAAAACCCAACTACCTATTTATTTATTGAATCCTTTGAGCCCTTAGCGGTTGAGGCGTAGGATCGAGACATGCCAGCTTGATGCTTTACACGCGTAGCCGATTGATTCCCCGGGTTATAAGGCGCTGGAAGTTAAAAGGCCTTAAAAACGACATACACACCAAGGCATTGTCGAGTTCCATGGAAACTTATGAAAACGTATTTAACGGATTTCCGTGGCTAGCGAAAACTCGGAGAGAATCGAAGACATGAACATAGCCTCCTAATCCTTGCAGGTATTTTTCTTTTTGTATTAGTATATGTATACGCATACATTATATATATATATATACACGTATTTGTAGAATTATATTGTCTTATACATGTGAACAATACTATGTAAATATACATGTAGCTGTAGGATTATATTGTTATATATATATATACAACTACATGCATACATGCATACATACATACATACATACATACATACATACGTACATCCATCCATATATATATATATATACATATACGCACGAACAACTATATATTTACATATGTATATATATATATATATATATATATGTAATTATATAGCTAACTAACTAACTAACTAACTAACTAACTAACTAACTAACTAACAAGCTAGCTAGCTAGCTAGCTAGCTAGCTAGCTAACTAACTATCTAGCTAGATAGCTAGCCAGCCAGCTAGCTGACTAACTACCTAATAAACAAAATCATACATATATATATATATATATTAATTATATATATATATATATATTGTATATGACCCCGTGTATTTCTTTGGGGATCCCAGCTCCTTCACTTTTGGAGATCGTTTGAGATCCAAGGCTTTTAGCTGGCTGGTCATAGCAAGCCGTGGCCAATCCGCTCACCAACACAAGATGGGTTCACAAAAGCAGTCTACTTGGGCTTTAGGGCTTAGAGTTTGGGCATGACAATCTTGATACGATTCCGAAACCAATGGCAACGACTCCAAGTTCACGAATGATACCTGCGTTGGGACGTGAGGTCGTCTTTGTTTCTATATGAGACTCGACGCCTTCTCTCCGAAGCTCTGCAAACCTTAGGTCAAGCTTCTGCAATCAGCTAAATCAGGCTTTGGGGCTGGGACTAAATGCAGGGGTCAACCGTAGGGGCCTTACTTCACTGCTTAGGGTTAGGGTTTCGGGCTTAGGGTTTTGGGCGTAGGGTCTGGGCTTCTATATCAAACAGTGGGGGATTGTTCTGAGCGGGGGGCCTTCTTGTCAATTGTGGAGCCAGCAGGGGGTTCAAACTGGGACTTTCCCAGCTTCTCGTTCACCTCGCGCAGGATCTTAGTTTTCTTTGGGGGGTGGGGGGTCCAAGTATCTGCTTATCATGTACTCTCCCAGATGCCTAAAGAAAGGCACCTACCACAACATGCGAAGAGATGCGAACCTCCGGATTCCTGAGCTGCTGCTAAAGATTCGTCTCCCATGAAAGCTTCATCAAGGCTCCCCAAAGTACGAAAGGAAAGTAGTTGTCTAAATGAAGGTTCCTTTTAGGGTCCTTCGTATACGGGTGCCGTACTATTTTCAGGACCTGGAAGGGATCCCTAAATTCGAGAACTACCCATTTGGGGTTTAGGGTTTGGG